GTATGCGGCAGCGGCGCGGAGCCCCGAGCACTCCGGCCCCGTCTGCTGACCTCTGCGTGATCCCGGACTCTATGAATTATTGATGAGATATGAGCGTTGATTTCCCCTTTCAGAATGCAAACTCCATTATATGGTTAAAATGGCGATTTAATCGTTGAGAATAGCTTTGGTGTGGGTTTTTTCCCCCAACTCATTTGCGCCTCCTTCCTTTTCATTTAACTGTCTTAATTAAATCCTTTAACAGATTTTAATCACTTTTTGGAGGGAGGGGTGAGTGGAAGGGGGAGGCCACCGCTACCACTACCACCACCACCAGCAAACACTAAAAACAAAACAAGCCCCCAGGCCATAAAAAGCTTCTACCTTGGGGAAGTTGGAAGGAAGGTAGGGAGGAGTCCTGAAGCCCTCTAGAAAGGACATCCTGGGAACATCCACCAAAAGATCCATCCATCTGAGGGCAACCTACGTCTGACAAGGAAGAGTCAGGCTTGAGAGGTGTTTAATTCCACCCCTGAGAAGATTTGTGTGTGGACTCTGACACTGGGGAGTAAGATACACTTGCCCCTGCTGAGAAGTGCAGGGACCTCAAGCCTGGGGAAGGCCGCATGATTCTGGTGGGGAAGGACTCTCCAATCTGGGCCCCAGGGGCACTTAGGGAGAAATGTCCATTTTCCTTAAGGAGCCCCCATTTCTTCCCTCCTCCTCCCCAAGCAGCTCAGTTTCCAGGCCGGTGTCTGGGTTAATTAATATGGATGTGGAACAGCACTGCAGCAATCGATAAATCCTGCTGTGGGCAGATCCCAGCCTCGAAATCTGATTACTTCTAGAAACTCCAAAAATGGAGAGAGTGACCCTAAAAGATGGGAGGGTTTCTTCCCAGCTCTGTCCTCCTTGGTTGATCCAGTTGGTCCCCAAGCTGAGAAGCCCATGCAAGGGAGCTTCTTCCTCTCTACCCTGGAAGGGAGTGAGTTTGGGAGATTGTTGTAAGTGGTCTGTCTTCTCTCTTGTTCCAAATCCTTGGCTTCTGCCCCAGCATCCAGACTCCAGGCATAAGGGAACCAGGCCAGGAGAGGAGCTCCCACTTGGATCTTGCCCCCACCCCCGGCCTCCCCCCTCCCCCCAGTGAACAGGTTCTCACAGCCAGGGAAGGGTTAAGTGTCCCCGCTGCAGTTATGGAGAGGAAGCCGATGAAATATGGGCGCTCGGAACTCCAGGGCCGGCTGGCTTTCCTGTTTACACTTCTTTATACTTCCTGCCACCCCTCGCGCAGAGAAACAAAACAAAACAAAACAAAATAACCAAATCAAACAAAAAAATCCAAAATCAAATTGTCCGCTGAGAGGTGGTCAGGCAGGCCTTGGAGAGAAAAAGGCAACTGGGGCCTTAATCCCCGGCTGCCTCCTCGGGGCCTGCCCAGGTGGAGGATGCTGGGTGGCTGGGCGGCAGCATCTGGCCGGCAGGGTGCTAGCCTGGAGCTCAGAAGGTTGAGGCCTGGACCCAGCCGGGGAGGGGGAAGCAGGTGGGCGAGGAGGGAGAAAAGAGTCCTCCAGATTGAGGAGCAGCTTTCCCAGAGAATATCTTGGGGAAGGCGGGAGGGGAGAGCACGGGTCTGTGGCGAAGGAAGAGTTCCTTTGCACCAGAAACCCCTTCTTACCTCTCCCCCCAACACACACACACACACACACACACACACACACACACACACACACGTCCTTATTGGGTTTCAAGGGAGACCATTGCCCAGAGAACCTGAAGCAGGGAAGAGGAAAACCAGCTAGGGAGTCTTTTCCCGGAACCTCTTAGAGCAGGAGACCCTTCAAGGGTTTTGACCTCCGGGGCGGAAGTGGGCACCCTCCCCCGCCCGGGGCTGCTCTTCACCATTCCGGAAAATCTGTCTAGATATGCCCAGCAGATGTCCCTGGGCCACTAGCCCCGTGCGTTCTTTATCAGAGTTTGCAGAGCTGACATAGAAGGGGACAAAAAAATGTCTTCAGAGGCAGGCCTGGTGGTCTGGGGTTTCTGCGAGAGGGCTCGGCATTGGAGGGAGGCCAGGACACACGGGAATGGGGGTTCCCAGGAGGCCCCAGGTCAGATTCTGCCCCTGCTGCACCACTCCTCTGCACCTTACTCTACTCGTTTGCCTTGTCCAGAGTGGAAGCCTGTGGAGGCTGTGCCTCCAGAATGTATTGGTATCTTAAATGATGCTGGGGACCCTCTGGGAGCTGACCAGAGTCTCCTTTCCAAGGACTACAAATGCCTCATCATTCTTGGGGGGATTTGTCTTCAAATCAGGGTGAGGACCCCAAGCTCTCTGTCCTCTTTGCTCTCAAACCCGTGAAGGTTCTCCTGTAAGTCAGGCCTGGGCAGGGACTGGTGAGCTCAGGGACCAGAGAATGGTTACAGGGAAGAGAGGAGAGAGGCAGAGAGTGCAGATGTCCTTCAATGGGAAATGGGGGGAATCTCGTGGCCCTCCCCTTGTCCCAAAGATCAGAAGCTCCTTAAGGTGCCATATGTCCAATTCTAAGTACTATTCACAGGAGTTGGTAAGCTGAATCAAGAGACAGAGGGCTAGCAAAAACAGGAGTGACAGGGTGGTAGACCCCATGGGTCTTAAAATCGGGGGTCAATTTGGTGGAGAGGAGGCCTCTAGTTTAGAAGAGGGTGATTTACCCTTAGAAAATAACAGGCCCCCTGGGGGTCAGATGATGAAATCCCTCTGGGTTGGCGGTGCCACAAAACAAAGGGGCTTTTAAGGGTCTGGTAGGGATAGAAGAAGAGGGAGGGAGAGGAGAGGAAAGAGAGAACCTCTCTGATTTTTCTCTCCTGCTCCTGAGTCCCTTTTTTCCCCTCCGGACAGTTGGGTTCTGTGTTCTTGAGCAAGTTTTATTTATGGAGGGTCTGCCAGGGATCTGCTGAAACACCTAACTCCTCCAGGCAAGGGAAGAAGGTCCCCCCTTCCCCGCACTCCTGGCCAGGAATTAGGTTTGGAATTTGAGGGGATTGTGCCCCTCTGACCCTCCTCAGAGCCAAGCGGAAGGGGCTGGCTTGGAATTAACAGGCGGAAGCTGGGTGCAAAAGCGCCGCACGCCCCATCCTGGGTAACCCCGATGAGGCCATGGAGAAATGGGAGGTACCCCCTTTCACAGGGTTCAAAAATCTGAAAGCCAGAGAGAGCCCCAGTGCAAGGCGGCCGGCCCACAGCAGACGCATTAGCCTTCCCGGTGCTTTTTCTCAGCTCAGATGTATCCAGATAAAAGTGCCCAGCGGCGCGCCCCCACACACCCCTGACAAATGAATGTCATAAAGTTTCTTTCCTGGGGGTGGGGAGATGTCTGTCTGAAGATATCCAGCAGTGAAGTGGCCCCCCACAAGGGGCCCTTCTTTCAGGAGTACACACCCTTCCCTCTCGCCCCCTAAATTTCCAAGGACACTGAAGGAACCCACACAAGCCCTTTCCCCCCACAAAGAGTCAGACACTCCTGTGAATAAAAACCAGGCACCCCAACCGCTGAGGCCTTACAGAAACGAGAGCCCCCATGTCAGTTGCACAGCCTGTCAGAACTTGGTGCAAAAAGCAGACGAAATGTCCCCCACTTGCTATGCTACAGCCCTGCCGGAGGCAAGATTTCCTGCCCCGGGTTCCAAGCCCCAAAACTGCAGGGGGAGAAAGCGAAAGCTGGAAGCCACTTACCGCGGGAGTGCCGCCACCGCCTTCTGGGCTGGGAGAGCGCTCACCTACCTCTGCCCCCTTCCCCACCACGGCGAGCAGTTAAAGTGTCACTTAACATTCTGGAGAATGTGAAATATACCGCGCGGTGTCAACTCCCCAAAACCATAAAACTAACTTTATGGACCTCACGTGACTTTCTCGAGCCAGTGAGGGGTATCTGTCTGACTTCTCGGCGATTTTTACGATCTAACTTCGAGATAAAACCCCTATCCATTTGACATCTAAATGTCATAGCGACTTTTGGGATAGTTTGCTATGGACAAAGGGGGACAAAGTCAAGGGGTGAGGGGGAAGGAGGGCCCAGTAGAGCCTCTACGACCCTTGGCTGCCTCCTCACCAGCTCCCCCTCCCCCCCAAGTCCTGTAAGAAGTTGGGCCAAGCTGGAAGGGATTGACCGGGTAAGTGTCCAGACTTGACTCTTGCACTCAGGGTGAAGGCGGACTTGGATGGAGGAGAACTGGGCCTTAACCCTGGGCCACTCGGGCTGGCAGGGGAAACAGGGGTCTTCCAGGAGGGACCCCAGCTCCTAACCAAGAGGGAAGGTCAGCTGGGCCCCTGGAGAGAGGGAACCCTTGCTAAGTACAGAGAAGACTGAGGTTGAGAGGAAACCTTTGAAATTGAGCTGATTTTTTTTTTTTTTTTTTTTTTTTTGGTCTTAGTGGGTGGCGGAGCTGAATTGGGATTTGGGCCAGGGGACAGGGGGGCTGGGCAGGCCTGTACCACTCCCAAAAGGCCAGGAGCCTCCTGCTCAGGACTTAGGCCCACATTACTTTCCCTGAAGAGGTTTCCAGAGGCTTTTCTTGCTGGCTGGTGGAAGGCCAGGGTGGAATCCAGCTCACCTTTTCCCTTGCCCTAAGCCCCACATGGGATTTCTGGACTTCTCAGTCCCCCAGACTTGAAGGCCAATCCCCTGGCCCAAGTACCGGCTGACCAAGTGAGGGGTGTAGGTGGCTGAGAGGGGCTACTGGTGAGCATCCTGCTTTCCCTTCCCTACACCCCAGATCTGTCAAGAGGGGTCTAGGGTGTGCCCAGTGATGGGAGAGACAGGCCCCCAGAGAAAAGACAAGTGGAAGGGCAGTGGAGTGGGGGAAACATTTATTTGACTTCAAGGAAAGCTACAAACAAATACCAAAAGCGAATCACTGAGACAGGCCCGGCAAATGCAAAGACAGATTCCACACGTAGCACAGCATCCACTCGCTCACTACAAATGGTCTTGGAAGCGAAATGGGGGGGGGGGGATGGGTCTGACCCAGACTATCCCCATATTTACAAGCTTTGGGCCCTCTACTCCAGACCCATGGATTCACAGAGAAATACACAAGACATTTTACACTGAGGATTATTTTTGTTTCCCTACATTCCCAGGCCAGGCCTTGTGGGGCCTACCCAGGCGGCAGGAAATGAACTCTCACGGTTTACCTTCCCTCTTCTCAAGATCACCCCTTTGGTCCTCCAGGCCCCCTTCCCACCCTCGGACCAAGCCACTGGGAGACTTGGGCCTGGGGAGTGGGGAGGAAGGAGGAGGAGGAGGGTGGAAAGAGACAGTCATGGACTCCATCTCCGAGGCCAGCTCAGCTGGGCCCCGCGCTGCGGCACTACCCCACTTCAACAGCTGCCCCTTAGAGAAGTTTCAAGCTGAAACTCAAAATACAGCGACCATCCTTTATAAATAAGTTAGAAGAACACAGATGGGGAGGGGAAAGTTCACATTAAACATGCGAGTTTCTTTCTTTCCTGGGGGAAGGAGTGCAACCACAGACACGAACATTCAGAAACACTGGCGGATTTGGGGTGAGTGGAGGGGCGTGGGGAGCAGGGAGGGAAAATAATAATTATCATTATTATTAACAATAATAACAAGATTAACCAGTCCAGGAGAGAGGGAGCCACAGGAAGACCTAAGACCAAACGAAAAATAGTAACACAAGGCCGGGGCGAGGCAGGCTCGTGGGAACCGGTCCCCAGCGGGCAGTGGCAGCGCCGGGAGGCTTGGAGGGGCCAGGGCTGGGGGGCGGCAAGGGCTCTTGGGCCACCCAGGGCTCCTCCAGGCGGGCTCAGGGCTGGAAGGCGCTGCCGGCTGTAGCCAGGCTCATACTTTTCAGTTTGTTGTCTTTCTTCCACTTCATGCGCCGGTTCTGGAACCAGATCTTGATCTGGCGCTCGGACAGGCAGAGCGCGTGGGCAATCTCGATGCGCCGCCGCCGCGTCAGGTAGCGGTTGAAGTGGAACTCCTTCTCCAGCTCTAGGGTCTGGTAGCGGGTGTACGCGGTCCGGGCCCGTTTCCCGTCCGGCCCGGTCATATCTGGAGCAGACAGAGTAGAGCCGCGAGGCAACGTTATTCCGGTTAAGGGAGGGGGCCCTGGATGGGAGAGGGGCGTGGAGCAGGACCCAGGCGTCCCTGGCACCCAGCTCACCGCAGCTCCAAGCCTCCCCACTCCAGACGCCCTCATCCGAGCTCGCTCCTACACCCCCTTCTCCTGCAGCCCCCACTTCTGCCGGCAGCGAATGCGCCCGGCTTTGTCTCTTGCTCCCTCCCTGTGCCTCACCCTTCGCTGGGCTCAGGCGGCCGCTCGCCCCGGGAGGGAGGAGAGCGGCTGCACTTTTGCCCTGGAAAGCTCCTATTACTGCTTGCCCCTTCTTTGCTAGCAGCAGCGTCAAAATTTCGGGGGGTAAGCAGGACCCTTCCCCACGTTACATAAACCCCATCCTTCATCCCATAGCTAGTACAGCTGGGCGAATAAAACCTTAGCTGAAGCTGGAGACAAATGATTAAAAATACTCCTCCCCAGCTAAAGACCTAGACCTTCTTTGGCTCTATCCCCTCGAGCTGTGAGGACCCTCTTAGAGACTTCTCCACCTCTGGAAAAAAAATAAATCTATATTTGAGGAGAAGCCAAGCTCTCCTCGCCTCCCTCCCCCCCCACCTCCCCAAAGGCAGAGAAGGAAAGCCGAGGAGACAAAAAAAGGGAGCGAAAGCGAGAATTACCATGGCTGATGTGAAGCTTCCTCATCCAGGGGAATATCTGCGGAGTCTGCCCCTCGGGCGCGGCAGTGGAGGTGGCCATGGGCTCTGGCTGTGCCCGAGCTAGGCTCGGGCTGCTTAGCTGGCTCGCCGCTTCCTCAGGCTCCGAGGACGCGCTGGCCTCGTCTATTTCGGTGAAATTGGCGCTGGAGCTGGCCGGGGTCGCCTGGTCGGAGGGGGACGAAGCAGAGGGCTTGGCGCCGTGGCTGTCGCCGTTGGTGCAGGGCAGGGACTCGGGCGAGGACAGGGAGCAGCTCGACGCCGCTTGCCTGAAGCGGGGCTCCTGGGCGGGCGCGGGCGCGGGGAAGGCGCGCGAGCTCTCGCCCACCGCCCCAAAGTGGCTGGAGGAGGCCGAGGAGCGGTTGACGCTGAGGTCCATCCCATTGTAATTGTAGCCGTAAGAGCCGGTGTGCATGGCAGCGGGATCCCTGTAAGAGCCGCTCAGAGAGCTGCCACTGCCATAATTTAGCAACTGATAGTCCGGGCCATTTGGATAACGCCCCGAGAAGGAGTTTACAAAGTACGAGCTCATTTGGGTGATTTTGGAGGGCTTGATTTGTGGATCGTGGTCGTTATAACCCTGTGCTTCACGATTTATGATGTATTAATGAATTATAGCGATGCACTGTACTTCGTTTTGCTATGTATGCGGCCAAATATGGGGGGGGTTGGAAGGGGGATGGGGGGGCGTTAGGGAATCACGTGCTTTTGTTGACCAGTCGTAAATTCTCGCTGATGACCTCAAGAGGTAATTCATGCTCTATGGTTACAAATAATGACGATCCGAGAATCGTTAGGGCCGATTCAATGCGAACCTCCGAGAGAGGGGGAAAAACGGAGAAGGGGGAGAAACCGGGAGAAGGTTGGCGGCGGCCTCTGAGCAGAGCGCGCCACCTCCCGGCGATCGGCGGGAGCGCGGGCCGCGGACTGCCATGGCGGAGACGGCTGCCTCCCTGCTGGCTCCCTGCAACCGCCGGGCGGGAAGGAAACCCGGCCTGGGCTCACCCGCAGAGTTGAATCTTTTAGAGGAGGGACCCACTTGAGCCTTCACCCACTTTCTTGGGAGTGGGGTTAGACCATCTGTGCCCTTCTCCCTGTCATTATTATTATTATTATTATTAGTGTTATTATTATCATCATTATTATTTTCACTCTGGATGAGATGATCAAAAATTGAGTTGCTTTTCCCTCACTTGGGCTTTGCAAGTCTCCGTGTTGGGGGCGGAAATGGGGGGGAGGGCTGGAAGATGTGTGTGAAAAACAATTACTGCAACGCGTTTCCCCGTGAGCTCGGCCTGGCCTGCTTCCTGCCGGGGCTGCAGTGGCCCACGCACAGCGTCCAGGCGGAGCTGGTAGGGCTGGGCCAAGCGTTCCACGGAGAAGCTTTCACTTCTGTGCCCCTTAGAAGTTTGGGATCCTCTTCCTGACTTTCTCCTCCTCCTTAGCCCAGGCCCGGAGAATGGCAAAGCAGGACAGGGAGCCCAGAGGACGTGCAGGACTGGGGCGAAGCGGCCTAGTTGCAGGGGAGAAACAGTGGCAATGACATTACCGGTGGCTGGGGTTTGGGGTTCTGAGAGTTGGGGATCAAGGCAAGACCCTTTCCCCTCATCACCAGATGCCAGCTATTGCACTGGGAGGCCCCACTCGAGGCCCCTCGCTGACATCTGGGTAGTTTCAGAATTTGCCTGGCGGCCCACATCTTCCCTGGAAAGGGGTTCCAAGGACCAGCGGCGCCTTGCTGAGCGCGCTGGGCGGCCAGAGACTGCCGCAGCTGGGCTCCTTCTGGGGGCGTGTATTTTCTTTAAAAATAAAAAAGGGAGAGAGACGGAGGAGAAAGAAAGGAAAACAGTGTCCGCAGCTTGCCGCCTGGGTGAGGGTGGGGGGTGGGGAGAGAATGGGTCGTTTTTGGTTGAGGGGATGAGACCAAGCCTCCTCATCACCTGGACTCCTGCCCTCAGGTCTCCAAGGAGCAGCGGAAAGTCGTGCCCTTCGCCCCGTGGCTGCCGGCCGCTTCGAATTCCCCTACTTGTCGCTGAGCTCCTGCTCAAGGCAGGAAAGGGCGCCTGGAGCCTTCAACTCTGGGCAGAGAGACACCCGGCGGCCCTGATTTAGTCTCCGGAGCCACAGGCCCGGAGCCGAGGGCCAAGGCTGGCGGAGATCAGGCCATGTGGGCAGGCCAAAGGCTGCGGGCCTCGCGAGCGTGAGGACAGAAAGGCGCTGCTGAGGCGCGACACCCGCCTGGCTGTCTCTGCAGGGGCTCCGGGCTCAGGGCCTCGGCGGTGTCCCTCGTGCCACAGACAAACGAGGAAAAGCTTAGAGAATAAGAGGGAAACGGCTCTTCTCTGTCCCCCAAGTCTGCACCAGGAGAGGCTGTTGGGAGCCTCAGCAGTGGCAAGGCGCAGCACCGGAGCCTGGGCGGGCCCTCCCCAGCCTCTATCTCAACTATAACTTCCGAGTCGCGTCGGGCCCGCCCGGGCGACCAGGGCTCCCGCCTTTGCTGCGGAGTTTCCGGCACTGGGACTCTGGGGTGACCTTCGGGGTGGGGGAGTGGCAGGGGAGGAGCAGAGGTGACTGAGCGGCGAGTTTTTACATCTTTATTATTATTATTATCATCATCATCATCATTATTAATAATATTAATATTATTACCGAAGTATTTCACGTCCAGAGCTAAGACAAGACTACAAACACAACACATAGAAAATTAATAAAATAGAACTTTGTTTTCTTCTGAGGCTCCTCTTCTTACTTCTAGGTAGTATGTGCTCCTTCCAGTGGCTTTAGGGAGGGGGTGGGAGAGAGGTCTGGGGTCAGGGAGTCTTCGAGGCCCCTGCTGAGGGGACTGCGAATCTACCATTGAACCGTGCACGGGGAACATGGACGAAATGAGACGCGACACGGACAAGAGCATTTTGCTCTGCTTCCAGGAAACATCAAGTGAATCCGGTCCTCAGTTCTCATAGGGGAGCCTGATGGGGCTGAAGCGGTCCAGCAGGGATGGAGGGGGCGCTCGGGGTGCTGGGTGGGCTCAGGCGGCAAGGCCTCCCTGCACCCAGGGAGAGCTCTGCGGGTGGGGGCGTCCAGGAGAGCGCTGGGCCCCGCCTGTCGCGTGCTAGAGATCAGGTCCCCGGGGCCCCCAGCCCGCAGAGCCTTCTCCGGGCTCTCCGACGCCCTCGGCTCCACACAGGCCGCTCCCTTCGCGTCCCCCCTCCCTTTCCGGCGCCTTCACTCGGCTGGCTTTTCTTCCTCCTCCTCGGCACTGAGCTGAGACGCGCTGAGCAGTTTGCTCTCCTTTTTCCACTTCATGCGCCGGTTCTGGAACCAGATCTTGATCTGCCTCTCGGTCAGGCACAGGGCGTGCGCGATCTCGATGCGCCGCCGCCGCGTCAGGTAGCGATTGTAGTGAAACTCCTTCTCCAGCTCCAGCGTCTGGTAGCGCGTGTAGGTCTGGCGGCCGCGCCGGCCACTGGGCCCAAAGGAGGAACCTGTTACGCAGAGAGAAGATGCTGAGGCCTGGGGTCACCAGGGCCAGAACCCCCTCCCCCACTCGACCCTCAAACATGGACTCTAGCCTGTCCCGGGATGCCCTCCACTCTTCGAGTTCCCTGCTTCCCCCCCCCCCACTTCCTCACTCCTCCAGCGCCCCCTCCAGATTCCCTCCGGGTCTCCCAGGCCTGTGCCTCTGGTCTAGACTCTTGGTGGGGGATGGGAGGCGAGTTTAAAAACCCACCTGAGCCTAGGGGGGAGGGGCTGGGGAAGTACTGGCCAGGTGTGTCTCTTCCTAGCCTTATCTTTTCTTTCCATCTATCTGGCTCCCCCACCACCCTATGATAGATTCCAGCCTTTAATCCGTAATGACGTGGATCGATCCATAGTCGGCATTAACGGCTCCTCACTTTCGTGTCCCGCTAATGGACATCAATTTGGGACTTAAGGCCGACAAATAATCCAACCTGAGACCCAGGCGCCTGCTTCTCCCTCTCTCCCCCTCGGCCAGCTGCCTCTCCCTTTCTTCCCCTTATTCTCCCTCCCTCCTTCCTCTGACTACCACCCCTTTCCTAGTGCCTCCTCTTTCCCCAGCCCCGAACCCCCAGGGAAACACAGTCCGGGACGGATTCAACTCTCCTCGCCAGCGTCACGCCGCCCCCCTTCCCGTGACGCACTCCGTTTTTAATGGAACCCGTCTTCGGGTGGGGGACCCGACCGGGGCTAGGGGGGCGCGGGGGGAGCCGGGGGGGGGGAGCTACGCCAGTGGCTGCGGCCCCTGCCCCCTCCCCTGCCCCGGCATCGGGCTCTGGCGCGGCGCTCCCGGAGAGCCCACTCGCTCCCCCTGGCTCCCAGTGCAGCTGGGACTTTGCAAACTTTGTAACTCCTGAGGGCGAGAGGACAGAGCGGGAGACCTCGGACGGGCGCCCAGTCTTCCCTGAGCCCCTAACTGAGATGCCCACCCGGCACCCCGGGGGGAGGGGGGGCGCTACGTCTGTCCCCAGGGGTGGGGGCCCGCGGGGGTCGGGGCGGCCGCGGGAGGGCTCACTCACTGTTGCACGAATTCATCCGCTGCATCCACGGGTAGACCGGAGTGGAGCACTTCTGCTCTTCGGCCTCGCCGAACACGCTCTTGTCCTGCGCACAGTCGGACTTCCGCGGCTCGGGGTGGAACCGGGGCGGCTCTTCGGCGCCCGAGAGCGCGCAGGCCGACTCCTTCTCGCGGTAGAAGGCCGGCGCCGGCCCGTAGTCGCAGGGCGCCGCTCGGCCGTAGCCGCCGCCAGCAGGCGGGTAATAGGAGGAAGCGGCAAAGCCCTTGTCCTGGCCGGGCCCGGGCCCGTAGGGCGCGGGGTAGTGCCTCAGCGGGTCCGCATAGCCCGACGAGTAGAGCGGCAGCTGGCCCAGGAAGGACTCCTGCCCGCTGGCCAGAGTGACGGGGAAGGTGGAGTTCACGAAATAGGAACTCATTGGGAGGGGAGGCGCGCTTGGCCGCTGCTGCTCCGCCGGGTTTATGATTTGTTGTGTTTTATAGTCCGAGCGCCGCGCCTATTAGTAGTATATCTGAGATTGGGTTTTAGCTGAGGGGGGATGGCGAGGTGCCAGTGAGGGCCAGAAGGAAATACAACCATCTGATCCAACACTGACCAATGGCAGAGGCAGGAATTGTCAAATAGCACCCAGGAGGAGCGCAGCCCGCGCGAGGGACCCGCGCACAAACCTATCAACCTTTTTTTTTTTCCTCCTTCTTCTCCTTCTCCTTCCTCTCTCTCTCTCTCTCTCTCTCTCTCTCTCTCTCTCTCTCTCTCTCCCTCCCCGACAACACAACGCGTCCTGTTCCACCTACGCAGGATCTGCGAAAGAGGCGTCTGTGCCTTTGAGGGAGGAGAGAGCGTTTGGATTGAGACCACCCCATCCCCCAGTGATTAAATAAATATATCCCTCCCCTCCCCATGCAGGATAGGAAAAAGTTAATTGTGTTTTCAGAAAAGTTAACCCCTGCGTTGCTTGAGCCCCATTCCCTCAAGGGAAGGGTGCGTAAATGTCCCTCTCTGTGTGGTGAGGTGAGAACTAAAGGAAAAAGGGTTGTGTCTAGGGTTTTGTGTCGGTAGACCAGGAGCAGAGTTCACTATTTAGCATCATTTTCAGAAGGAGAGGCGAAGAAGAAGAAACTCTCCCCTCCCCAGGTTTTGAAAACTGGTTTTTCCTATTTCTCAGGTCTACCCTGCCTCCTCCACGCCTGGGTTTATTATTCCTGCTGCTTCTCAGCTCTTATGGTCTGAAGGGCAGGCCAGAGCCTGCTGCCCAGAGGACCCAGCAGGCTGGGAAATGGGAGGAGGGTCTGAGCCCAAGCTTCTCCCTCTGGCTCTGTGGCCAGGTTAGGCTAGGCTAGGAGCTTCTTGGAAGGCTCTGCTACCTCTGCTGCCCAAGACATCCTGCTGGTTTGAGCAAGTGCTGCTTGCTCTTGGCACAGGAAGGGGCACTGGGGAAAGGGACCCGCCTTCTCTTCACTTGTGCGATAGGGAGAGGAAGAGTGAGGGGCGTTGCCCAGCCTAGGTTGTCTGATCCCTATCCTGCCTGCAACCCTCACTCCATCCCCACCCTCTACCCCCCACATTATTAGAATATCCTGGGCTACAGAGTCTTAGGAATCAAAGATGTCTCAGGACATCTGGGCCCAGGGAAGAAATTGTTCTTCCTCCAATTCCAGGTCCTCAAAACCTCCTGATATTTGAGGCAATCAAAGACAACCGGAAAGAGAGGGGCCCTTGCTCCTTTTCCAGGTCTCTCCAGAAGCTGGCAGTTCTTTTTAAAATTAACTCTTTCCCAAAACTTGGTTTGGATTTAGTTTTCTAAGGAGGGAGAGGTGTCCACATCTTCCTGGGGACCCAGCAGGCAGCTTATAACTATCAGCCCGAATCCCCTCTCCAGATGCTCACCACCCTCCTGTCTGTCTCTCAGCATCTCTCCATTCCCTCCCACACCTCATATTTGTAACACCAGCTTTGCTGCTGCACAAGCTTGAGTGTGAGAAAGAGTGCTCCTCTCCATTCATTTCTCGCTCTCTCTCTTTCTGTCTCTCTCTCTCATCTAAGGAAAATGAGCACCAAAGCCAGGCTGGAAGACTGAACCACAATGTGTTTTCAACATTCTAACTAGGCACGTGGAAGCCAGGCAGTAAAGGGTGATAACCTTCAGACCTGGGTTCTGGAATGACCCAGGATGCGTGACAAAATCTGATGATAGAGGGGCCAGGCTGACTCTCCTCTGCCTTGTTCTTTGGGCTCCTTTTTGTGGGCCAGATTTGTCCGCTGCAGATGGCACAAGACACTAGGGAAGGTGGTAGAGGGCTGAGGTTGGTGACCAAGGGCAGGAACGTGGTTGGCTGCAAAGTGGCCTACAAGGCTCCCCGAATTCAGGAGAACTTCTAGGCTATACCTTCACGGCCGAGTGGTGATCCCTGCATGTCCCACCAACCACTTCCTAGCCAAACTCTAGGGGGAGGTTTATCAAGATTTAAGAAAACTCAAGCCTGCTAATGATGAAGAATCCTACGTGCCCCAGTCTAGCAGTGATTGGGCCCACTCCTAGAGAGGAATAGGAAACATTTGGTCTGGGGGAACAAGGTCAGGAGAGTGTCTGTATGCACCTCCCTCCTCCCTGCCACTGAGGCTGGGCCTTGGGCCACATCCGTTCTGCCTCCTCCCCGGCCACAATGTCCCCTTCCTAGAACTGGACGGTGTGGGCTTTGCTGTAGAGTCTGGACTAAGTAGGATGCCATAGGCAGGGAGACTTCCCTGTGATAGAAGTACGAAAATAACTGCCTTATCCTTAGAGTCACGGCCCCAAATTAACCTCACCTCTGCAGGTTGCCTGTCATGAGATGGAGCCGCAAAGGCAGGGCCTGGGCGCCTGGAGTCCAGCATGAAAGGAAATAGCGCCTCATTGCTCTTATCTAAGCCCAGAGGTATTTATGAGCGTTTATTCGTCTGATCCGTTTGTTTGGGAGAAAGAGCAGACGGGTAGGGCCTGGCCAGAGGCCGCCTGGTTTCTGGAGCCAGATCTCTACGAATTTGTCTGTGGTTCGGTCCACCATCGTCTGTCTGTCTCCAAGGGGGAATATGTAAATACCCAGCAGGCACAGCTGTCTGCCAGTCTGAGGTGTCTCTCCCAGCCTCACTGAGGAAGTGTGTATAGAGAGAGGTGGATATAAATGTGTACCAAGTACTGAGGATACAACAGAAGGATTGCAGAGAAACCCCACAGGCAGAATTTATAATTGTAATTTTCTGTGCTGTGAATCTGAGCTCCCGCGGACACGCACGCATTTTCATCTCCCAGGGAAATGTCCAAGTTGTGTTCAGCTTGTGAGTAAAATTCTCCTGTACCGGCAACCTCAGGGAGGGGTTTTTTGCCGGGATGTGTATGGAGGTGAGGGGGGATTGAGACACTGTCCAGGCTTCCCATTTCCTCTCAGCTACAAAGCTCCCCCCACCTCCAGCTCATTGGGTTGTGAGCATCTTGCCCCAACCCACTCCCAACTCCGGCTAGGGTGGAGCAAATTAAGACATCTCAACCCAATTCTTCCCCTAGACTGTGTGATGCTCTGAATTTGGGGAGCATAAATGTTCCCAGAGGGAGTTGTCAACCTTTGGGAGCTGTTTACATGGGATATTGCCTTAAAATTTGCCTGTCCTGCACGCGGTACAAAGACCTCATTTCCATTATGCAAATGAACATCCTCCTCTCTGATATGGGGAGAGTGGGATTGGCGGTGGCACTGGGCTCCCTCCCCTTTCTCCCTAACCAGGTCCATCGGCACCCTAAGAGCCAAAATGTTTCAACCCCCTGTACCAGCCGCCTTCCCTCCCTACCTGTCCTCCGGACCGCCCCCAAGAAAGAGGGGCCCAAGACTTTCCAGCGGCTGCCTGGGGGCCTCCGCACTGGGCCGGGCCTTCTGGCCGCCGAAAGTCACTCTTGCTGCCGGAAAGCTGAAAGGCGGCTCCTGTGGTGCAGACACTTGAGGCGCCATCGACCCGGGGAGCGCAGACGCGGGGTTTGCCCCCCAGCACCGCCGGGCCCCCTCGACCTCGGCCGCTCCTCCAGCTCTGGGCCAGACCCTAGTAACACCTCGGCCTGCCTGGCACCGCAGGCAATTTCCTGGAGCCTCCGCCCAGGAACTGGGGCCACAGCACCTTGAAAGGAGCAGCCAGGGTTTCCTCCTGCGGCTTGAAAGCCCGAGCTAATCAGTAACCCGCGAGACAGGGGCCAATATTCAAACGCGGCAGCAGAGGCGCGTACCCCTGCCCTCGCCACCCTCTTCTGGGAAAGCGATCGGGTTAAGCGGGTGTGAGGGGTCCGGCAGGAACGGAAATCACAATGGTTTGGTTCCTTAATGGTTGATCCCCACTCCCACTCCCAATTTTTTCCCGAAGCATATTTGTGTCGATTTCGCTTGAAACGATCGAGAATGGGGGAGGGGACCCACACTCACTTGCAGACACCAACAGTTTCCAGAAAATTTCGGCTCCGTTCCTTCACCACCGACTCACCGGCCAAGCAACTGGCAAGACCCCACCAGCCAACCCGGAGAACACAGACCCGGGTTTGTCTTTTGACAACCGAGTGGAACTGCGGGGGCCGGCGCCTCCCCTGCTGCCCGCCCCCCCCCCCGCCTTGGCCGAAAAGAAAACCAAATAAACCTTGAACAGCCTTGGCCTCGAATCTCCTGAGCCTCCCGGATGATCCCCTCTCGAGCCTTGGAGGGGTAGGAGGGTGAGGGCTCGCGACTCTGATCCCCCAACCCTTTGGTTCAGGGCCCCCTGCCCGCCGGATGCAGTATTAGTCCTTTTTAAATATGACCTAGAAAAAGCCGTGTTCTCAGCCAGCCGCTGGGTTTGGAGCTGGGATGGGGCGGACGAGGGGGAGGGCACACTTGTTCTCTAATCCACACGCGGACGGGCGGGTACCATGGTCCAGCGGAAAGCGACAATCTGGGCCGACGTCCCCCGAAACCCGCCGAACCTGAGCAGCGGGGGCTCCAGGCGTCGGGCACGGTTCAGGCGGTGTCGCCGGGCTTGCGGCGACGAAGCCGCATGTCTCCGAACGGACGGTAGATGGCAGCAAACCGCATAATTTGGGTCAGAGCAAACTGTCTAAGGGGTGATTTATACCCCGCCAAGACTACAGGAGAAAAAGACCTTTAGTCTGGATGGGTTTGGGGAAATTTTCCTTTGAGAATAGGCCCCGAGTGCCGTGGGTGCTGACCGAGAACTTCTCTCGCGGCGCAGCCCAGGAGTGCCTGCAGGCACCCGGTCTGGGCCTGCTTCCTGGGCAGCTACCTGCGCCTCCAGGGGCCCCCTTCCAGCGCCACAAGTGGCCTGCATCCCTCTCTTCCCAGCCCAGGCTCGAGAGGGCCAATATCCCCTTACCCACCCCCACGGCCAGCAATTCCTGGGCTACCACAGGCCCGAGGCTGAACGCTCTGCATCTGGTCTTCAGAAAAAAGAGAAAAGCAATCACCTATTTGTGCAAACCAAACTAAATCGCAGTCTCTCCTGCCCTCCATGCCCAAAGCTGCTTATCTCTCCGCTGGCGCTTCCCCCAGAAGCCCTCTCACTTGGTTTTTAGGCTCTGACCAGCTTCCCCCTTCTTCCACCCCACCAGCTACTTTAGGAATTTCAGTATCCCGCCCAGTGCTTCTTCTCCCCACTCCTCACGCCCAGGAGGCCTGGCTGGAGAATGAAATCAGGCGCCAGAGGGAGAGGACTA